AAGTGACATTTCCGTCACGTCCGTGTGACCTTGGATCGGGTCAGGATCGTCGCTTCGATTCGGTCACCTGTGACCCCAAAAATCGGGCTCACAATATATATAACAGTTAAAAAATCCTGTAAATGATAAATATAAATGAATGGGCATGTAAAGGGTTGAAGCCCGGAACAATTTCCATTGTGTTATTCCATTAATTAATCAATAAATAAATTGATTCGAGCGAGAATTATGCATAGTAAGCAATAATTTTAATTGATTATTTCATACTCTAAAATTACGCAGATTCGTATACAATCTATCCTCGTTATAACGTACTCTGTTATAGCGATGAGTAATACGAATAGTAATGGTGTAAAGTAGTGGAGTATAATACATTAAATTAGCAAACACGTGAGTATGGATAACTGATAAAGTAGTATATCGTGTATAATATGGCGTTAGAGAAAATTAGACTTCGGGCTTTAAACTTATAAAATCAGGTCAGCAAATCCAGCGCCATCATTAATGGAGGGCAGTTATTCTTGCAACGAACCTTTTTATAATGAACGCATCTATAACAATACCATAGACTTTTTTAAAAAATGTTTATTAGAACCCGGCATCGGAATAATAAACCACTTCTATAAGGAACATAAAAATTTTTATTATAAGAACTGTCAGTTCATTACACTAAAGTTAACTGTATACATATGTTGTTATTCTATTGTCGTGTTCGGAAAACTGCGACTCGGTCGCTCCACAATTCAGAATCTCGCGTAACCAACGATAGGAAACTTACAAGTCAGGTAGTGTAAGTCACGTGATCAAGAACTTAAAACGAACAACGATTTTTTAGGGGTTAATAGGGTGTATAGGGTTTATACTGTGTATAGTGCTAGTGTAAAATTATGAACGGTATATAAGATTGTGACTTATTATTAAATAAAGCAAACGAGACCTAATCCTCTTAGGGACCATTCGGCCTTTAATTATATTACCCAAGCGAATATTTAATAAAACTCTAAAACTATTTACAATTATTTTTTAAGAATTTGTAATTTTTAATTATATCTCCCCTTATCCTTCAATATGCCATTCACATCTGAAATGCCGTCCCCTATACAAAATGTAATAAATTGCACTTAGTGCAATTCGTGCATTTTTCACGTGATCATGTCGGACTATTCGTAATATCGTATAGTGATTACCTAGAACAATTTGAAATTTGTATTATTATACTATATAATGTTATAGCAGATATTTATTACTAACTCAACCACTATAGTATTTAAAAATCGGCCCGGACTGCCATCCGAATAATGCTCTGTGTAACTTTTTTTTCATACTCATTGATACGCATATTTTATTAATTAATTATGACAGATTTTTTAATACGCAATACTAAATGAAATAACGATTGCTCTTTTTTGAAGATTTAAAAAACAAAATCCGTTTCGTACTAAAATTTTCCAAATGACCAATTGAATGGACTAGAATAAGTTGGATTTTTTTTATAAAAAGCCAACGATTTTATCTTACTCTGGATTCAAAAAAAGCAAACAAAATCTAGCACTCACATACATAATTTCTTATAAATCAATAATTTTTTTGATATTTCATAAAAATACTAATCATGATCCGATATTCTGTCTTGTTGACCTCTATTTTTGCTGTATTTGCCATGTTGACGGTCTTTTCTTCGATCAATACTATTCAATATCGACTATATAAACGAAACACTCAATTTTATCCATGCAATAACTTAGAATCTAATGCAACCACGCTTACTAATGCAACCTCGCTTATTAATGTAACCAAGCTTACTAATGCAACCATAATTGATAATGCGGCCATGATTGATAATGCAATAATTCGTCCTAATCCATCAATTGGGAAAGCCAGTGTTATTATGCCAATAGGAGATATTAATATTACTAGTGGAGATCGATTCATTTTTGAAATTAAACATAATAACAATACCCTCATATTCCAAAATGGTACTGATATTTGTAATAATGCCATATGTCCGACTAAAGAGGATGTAATAGAATTTACTACTTCAATCCCCGAGTTGCCACGTGAATCTTCTGAGTACTACATGGTAATTAGAATTGAATCTAATGTTACTGAGAGTATACTACCAGTAGACTTTAATTCTGTCACTGAAAATTCATCAAATTCATCTGATACAACTATTTTAACTAATTCAAGAAAATTAAAAGCTTGTAGTTCTACTAAGGAATTTACTAATTAATAATTATTATTAATTTGGTTAATTAATGTTCTAGGATAAGTTTAAACATTTATTTTTTTATTTTTTTTTCATTTTTATTTTTCGGTTAATTCATAATATAAGTATATACATTAGGCTTCTTAGTTTGAGGGTTAAAGTTATTGAGATTTTATGTTAAAGAGTTTTGCTAGTATTAATTTAATCACAACTTTGTTGTTTTTTATTCGTGACGATTTTTATTCATGTACAATTTAGTTTACAATAAATATAGATTAACCAATAAAACTTAAAAAAAATTGGCCTTTTGAGTTCTATTGATGCTGAGGATTGATTTTACTTTGATATGAAAGTTTAAAAAATTTTTAATATTTTTTTTTTTCTTGCACTCGGATAATGTGTACCAATTTTGTGGCGCAGACTTCCTGAATTGCGCGAATCGAGTTCCAAGATACGTGTAACTAGAGATGGGCACGCGCGGGATTTTTAATATGATCCCGAAATAAGATTATTCGGCCGGCATTACCATAATATC